GGGAGAGTTTAGGGGGATTTGGGGCGGTTCTGGATTTTTAGGATTTTTGGGGCAATTCAGGGACATTTTGGGGCGGTTCTGGGAGCTTTGGGGCACTTTTGGGGTTTTTTTTCAGGGACATTTTTTTAGAGACAATTTGGGGTAATTTAGAGATATTTTGGGGGTTTTTGGGGACATTTTGGGGCAGTTGTGGGGTGTTTTGGGGGATCTGGGGCAGTTTTGGGGATTTTTTGGGATGTTTGGGGCAGTTTGAGGATGTTTTGGGGTGTTTTGTGGCAGTTTTTGGATATTTTGGGGCCGTTCTGGGAGCTTTGGGGCAGTTTTGGGGTTTTTTTCAGGGACATTTTTTTAGAGACAATTTGGGGCCGTTCTGGACGGTTTTAGGACATTTTGGGGCCGTTTTGGGGTGTTTGGGGACAGTTCTGGGATGTTTTGGGGTTTTTTGGTTTGTTTAGGGCAATTCAGGGACTTTTTGGGGTTTTTGGGGTGTTTGGGGACAGCTCTGGGATGTTTTGGGGTGTTTGGGGCAGTTCTGGGACGTTTTGGGGTTTTTTTGGTTTGGGGGTAATTCAGGGACTTTTGGGGTGTTTGGGGACAGTTTTGGGATGTTTTGGGGCTTTTGGGACATTTTTGGGGTGTTTCGGGTACTTTTGGGTGTTTGGGACAGTTCTGGGATATTTTCGGATTTTTTGGGACATTTTGGGGCCGTTTTGGGTTTTTGGGGTATTTGGGGACTTTTCTGGGATATTTTGGGGCCGTTCTGTGTTTTTGGGTTTCTTTGGGGCAATTTCAGGACATTTTGGGGCCCTTTTGGGGTCTCTGCGTTGTTTTGGGACTTTTCTGGGATGTTTCGGGGTGGATTTGGGTTTTTTGGGGTGTTTGGGGCAATTCAGGGACATTTTGGGGCTGTTTTGGGGTCTTTGGGACTTTTCTGGGATGTTTTGGGGCAGTTCTGTGTTTTTGGGGTGGTTTGGGACGGTTTTGGGATATTTTGGGGCTGTTTTGGGGTTTATGGGTTTTTTGGAGCGGTTTTGGGGTGTTCAGGGGGATTTGGGGCCGTTCTGTGTTTTTGGGGTGTTTGGGGCAATTCAGGGACTTTTTGGGTTTTTTTAGGACATTTGGGGACATTTTGGGGATGTTTTGGGGTTTTTAGGGGTGTTTGGGTACAGTTTTGGGATGTTCTGGGATTTTTGGGACATTTTGGGGGTGTTTTGGGTTTTTTGGGGTGTTTAAGGACTTTTCTGGGATGTCTTGAGGCTGTTTTGGGTTTTTTTGGGGTGATTGGGAGAGTTTAGGGGGATTTGGGGCGGTTTTGGGGTTTTTTTCAGGCACATTTTTTTAGAGCCATTTTGGGGCAGTTCCGGGATATTTTGGGGTGGTTTGGGGCTGTTTGGGGACATTTTGGGGCGGTTTTGGGGTGTTTGGGGACAGTTCCGGGATGTTTTGGTGCGGTTTTGTGGTGTTTGGGGTGTTTGGGGACGTTTTGGGATTTTTTGGGTGTTTGGGACAGTTCTGGGATGTTTTGGGGCTGTTCTGTGTTTTTGGGGTGGTTTGGGATGGTTTTTGGGATATTTTGGGGGTGTTTTGGGGTGCTTGGGGACAGTTCTGAGCTGTTTCGAGGAGGTTTTGTAGTGTTTGGGGTTTTTGGGACTTTTCTGGGATGTTTTGGGGCCGTTCTGGGCTTTTTGGGCTGTTTGGGAAAGTTTAGTGGGATTTGGGGTGGTTCTGGGGTTATGGGGTGTTTGGGACGGTTTTGGGGTGTTTGGGGACTTTTCTGGGATATTTTGGGGTCTCTGGGTTGTTTTGGATTTTTTTTCGGGGATGTTTTGGGGCTGTTCTGGGTGTTTTGGGGCTGTTTGGGAGAGTTCAGGGGATTTGGGGTGTTTCGGGGCATTTGGGGTGGTTCTGGGTTTTTCGGGCAAATCAGGGACATTTTGAGGCGGTTTTGGGCTGTTTGGGGACATTTTGGGGCACTTGGGGGGATGTTTTGGGGTGTTTGGGGCAGTTTTGGGCTGTTCAGGGGGATTTGGGGCAGTTTTGGGGTTTTTTGGGGTGTTTGAAGCAATTCAGGGACATTTTGAGGCGGTTTTGGGGTGTTTAGGGGGTTTGGGGCTCTTCTGAGTTTTTGGGGGTGTTTGGGGACTTTTTGGGGATGTTTTGGGATTTTGGGGCAATTTGGGGACATTTTGGGGCCGTTCTGGGCTGTTGGAGGCAGTTTTGGGATATTTTGGGGCTGTTCTGGGGTTTTTGGGCTTTTGGGGAGAGTTCATGGGGATTTGGGGCAGTTCTGGGTTTTTGGGGTGTTTGGGGCAATTCAGGGATATTTTGGGGCAGTTTTGAGGTGTTTGGGGACTTTTCTGGGACGTTTTGGGGTGGTTCAGAGTTTTTGGGATCTTTGGGACAATTCGGGGACATTTTGGGGGTGTTTTGGGGTTTTGGGGGTGTTTGGGGACTTTCTGGGGTTTTTGGGACAGGTTTGGGACATTTTGGGGCAGTTCTGGGTCGTTTGGGGCAGTTTTGGGGTTTTTTTTTCAGGGACTTTTTTTAGAGACAATTTGGGACAGTTCGGGATATTTTGGGGTGGTTTGGGACAGTTTGGGGACATTTTGGGGTCATTCTGTGGTGTTTTGGGATTGTTTTGGGATTTTTTGGGTTTTGGGACAGATTTAGGACATTTTGGGGCCGTTTGGGGCAGTTTTGGGCTGTTTCGGGACTTTTCTGGGATGTTTTGGGGCCGTTCTGTGTTTTTGGGGTGGTTTGGCACGGTTTAGGGGGCATTTTGGGGCCGTTTTGGGGTGTTTGGGGACAGTTCTGGGATGTTTTGGGGCTGTTCTGGGGTGTTTAGGGAGATTTGGGGTAGTTCTGGGTTTTTTGGGGCTGTTTGGGAGAGTTTTGGGGGATTTGGGGCCGTTCTGTGTTTTTCGGGGAGTTTGGGGCAATTCAGGGACATTTTGGGGCAGTTCGGGGATATTTTAGGCATTTTTGGGACATTTTGGGGCAGTTTTGGGGTTTTTGAGGTGTTTAGGGACAGTTCTGGGATCTTTTGGGGGTTTTGGGGCAGTTTTTGGACATTTTGGGGCCGTTCTGGGTTTTTGGAGCAGTTTTGGGGTTTTTTTCAGGGACATTTTTTTAGAGATATTTTGGGGTAATTCAGGGGTATTTTCGGGGTTTTTTGGGACCGTTTTGGGACATTTTGGGAGTGTTTTGGGGTGTTTGGGGACAGTTCTGGGATGTTTTGGAGTTTTAGGGGTGTTTGGGGACTTTTCGGGGATGTTTTGGGACTTTTCGGGGATGTTTTGGGGTGGTTTTGGTTTTTGGGGTGTTTGGGGCAATTCAGGGACCTTTTGGGGCAGTTCGGGGATATTTTAGGGATTTTTGGGACATTTCGGGGCAATTGGGGATGTTTTGGGGGGTTTGGGGACAGTTCTGGGATGTTTTGGGGCCGTTCTGTGTTTTTGGGGTCGTTTGGGACGGTTTTGGGATATTTTAGGGTTGTTTTGGGGTTTTTGGGATGTTTGGGACAGTTCTGGGGTCTTTTGGGGTTTTTTGGTTTGTTTGGGGCAATTCAGGGGCTTTTTGGGGTTTTGGGGGACTGTTCCGGGATGTTTTGAGGATGTTTTGTGGTGTTTGGGGTTTTTGGGACTTTTTGGGGCTGTTTTGGGGTTTTTTTTGGAGTGTTTGGGGCAATTCAGGGACATTTTGGGGCAGTTTGGGGATATTCTCGGGTTTTTTGGGACATTTTGGGGATTTTTGGGGTGTTTGGGGCAGTTCTGGGACCTTTTGGGGGTTTTGGGGCAGTTTTTGGATATTTTGGGGCTGTTCTGGGTGCTTTGGAGCAGTTTTGGGATTTTTTTTCAGGGACATTATTTTAGAGCCATTTTTGGACAATTCAGGGATATTTTGGGTTTTTTTTGACGCATTTTTGGGCTATTTTGGGGGTTTTGGGACAATTTTGGGCACTTCGGGACGGTTTAGGGATATTTTGGGGCACTTTTAGGATTTTTGGGGCAGTTCAGGGCTATTTTGGGGCACTTTAGGGTCATTTTGGGGCAGTTTTTAGTCTTGAGAACAATTTAGGTCAATTTTGGGGCATTTTAGGGACATTTTGGGCCATTTTGGGGTGGTTTTAGCGACCGTGAGAAGAATTTTGGGATATTTTGGGTCGTTTTAGGATCATTTTGGAGCATTTTGGGGCAGTTTTAGGGTCTTGATGACAATTTAGGGACATTTTGGGGCAGTTTTGGGGTATTTGGGGCAGTTTAGGAGGATTTTTGGGCAGTTTGGGGCAATTTAGGAGGATTTTGGGGCAGTTTTGGGGTGTTTGGGACAATTTAAGAGGATTTTGGGGCAATTTAGGGGTTTTGGGGACATTTTGGGGCTGTTTGGGGTTGTTTGGGGCAGTTTAAAAGGATTTTGGGCCATTTTGGGGCTGTTTTAGGGTCATCAGGACAATTTAGGGTCATTTTAGGGCAGTTTGGGGTCATTTAGGATCATTTTGGGGCAGTTTAGGAGGATTTTGGGACATTTTGGGGCGGTTTTTGGGGCTGTGATAACAATTTTGGGACATTTTGAGGCACTTTAGGGGGATTTTAGGACATTTTGGGGCAGTTTTAGGTTCTCAATGACAATTTAGGGCAATTTTGGGGTGGTTTAGGGGAATTTTTGGGCACTTTTGGGGTATTTGGGACAATTTCAGAGGATTTTGGGGTGGTTT